GGCCACCGACCGGGAAATGTGACTAAGGCATTGTCCTGCGTGGCACCAATTACCGGACGGACATATGGGATAGTTTTCACCAATCATCCAACTATGCTCGGCAGGTAACGTTCATACATTGGTGAACGTCAGCCGCTCATCGGTCGACTATGGGCCAGTATTTGGTCGAACATAGACTGATGGTCGGACGGTGTCTATTCCTACCACTCACTCCAGATGACCTCAAATTCAACTGACCCTGGAAGATCCTCGTCAAAACAATGGCTGACCCCTGAAAGATGTATTATGATTGGTTGCTGATTTGAAGCGATGTAGGCATCGGTGGAGACATCGCTGATTTTTACTACAACTTACTAGTATTTTCTCCCGATGACCCCCACCGATTCGCCCGATGGTTTCAGTCACCGTCCGATTATTATGGGTGTCCGACCGGCAACAAGGCCATTGGTATCGTATTGCATATCGTATACGCCATCGCTGGATAATGTGACTGATGGTTTAGTCAAGCAAAAAGTCTTGAATATGCAGATATTTCAAGGTATGTTTTTTCAATTGAGGAAATTGATAAATTTCATTCCTTTTTCTGCTCTATATATGCAGGTATATTCCAGTTAATTCGGAAAGATGGATATCAAGCATGGAGTCTACCATGCACTCAATTGTTTATTTGCATGCCCACTTTAAATAGATACAATAGATAAGGCATATATTGCAAACAATTGCTACATCTTTAAAAATTGTGTCCTTATATAATTCTATATTCAGTCTAACTTTTCCAGTGTTTTACTGAGCGGGCATATTAAAATTCGATGTTGACCGCAGAATGAGAAGTTGGTGCTGGGCCATTTACGTCCCAGGGTGGGCGGGGTCGGTTTTTATTTGGCATTGTTGGCGTTTTACAGTACTGCTGCGCGGGTAAAAGAAATTTAACTCAGTCATGATACGTCAAAATAAAAAGTAAAAGATATCTAACAAAACATTTATTGGCTGTGTTCTCGAATATAATTGTGTTTTTTCGATCCCTCAAACAAAAAGTTTGCCTGAGGCGGTCCAACAAAACGCATGTTGCCATCGAACTCTGTCAGTAGATGTATAATTTTTAACTACATGTTTGATTAACTGATTGACTTCAGCAACTGCCTATTTTCTAAGTACGTATAATACTTCCTTAGCACGTTTGTTCTAGGTAACGACTAAGTCCAATGAGGTGGTATAAGTGCACTAATTTTGCATACATTTTTTTCCGATGAAGTTCGAGGTTTTAATTCTGGCATTTTTTTTATGATTAACCACAATTTTGACTTAAAAGGAAAATAGATCTCTCAAAGTATTTTCCTTAATGTAATGACTTCTATATGCAAGAAACGACACCCCTCCCCTTCATGAGAAGGAGCACACGGGGGTATGAACTGTCGGCAGCGAATGCTCACTCCTCCATGGCATCTGATCCCACCTCTGATGTTTTAGAGGTTCGTGTTTTCTCTGCTCCTTATTATGTACTGTTTGATAAACTTTTGATCTTGAAAACTGTTTGTATCTCCATATGTTTCATTCTATATCTCCATAACCTACAAGCAGTCAAGGGCAAAAAAGGTTATTTCATTTCCATATTATGATGAGTTTTCATCAGTTTGTTTTTCACACACACTTATAAACACACCCTCTCTTACAAAGATAAGACATCAGAAGTTCATCATCAAGAATCATCACGCCTCCTCCGAACGACATACAATCTTACGATGTGGAACAACTGCATCGTTTGAAAAGGCGACAAAATGCCTTCCATGAATTACTATTGAAATAGCTGTATATAACTGGGTTTATAATATGATTAAAAAGTGAAAAACGGGCACAGAACATCCATCCAAAATACTCCCAAACCGACAAATCAAAGTAATCAAAATCTGCTTTAGTATACCTCACTAATAATAGTATGAATGGAGGAAAATAAGAAATGATATAGCATAAAATAATCGTCGATATCATTACATTGTAACGTCTGATTTTGCCATTTTGCTTGAGGTCTTCTTTTGGAGCATTAGTTAATGTCTTTTGTCTTTGAACCGCATGTCCAGTGGTCATATTCGAAGAACTGGGAATTCCTTTTGCTTCTCGTACATTCTTTGAGCAAGTCACATGTACTTGGTTTGTAGTATGAAAGAAGTGATCATCATGTCTATTTGTTTCTCGGTACTCTTGAAGATGTATTTGGTTTGGTGTGACGTCACGCTCTTCTTCAAAAACAGTCTCAAAATTCATCACCCGTCTAGTGAAAAACATTCTAACCTTAGCTACAAAAAGTCCGTAAGTAACAGTTATTGCAGAAATAAGAGCAATTGTTATGACAAAAAGAGAAAGCGCATAAACTCTGCCTAAAACCGAATTCTCAACGATAAAGAAACAGGTCGTCGCAACCACGTGTTTTGTTTTATATTTCTGTATGTATGTCTTATTTCCGGATATAAGCAGTATTGGAGAAGCCATTACAACACAACCTATAGTGCCGAAAATGAAAATCTTCCAATGTAAGTTCCCAAAAGTTCCGTGTGGTTTGCAGATAAAGAGAAACCGTTGTATGGAAATGACTAGGATAATTAAACTTGATAGCCCGGATGTAAGGAAATTTAAATAATACAGAATACGACACATGGCGTCACTTGGAAAATTTACCCAGAAGATATCTCCTAAAACATAGTACGTCCCATAGGAAATACAGGCAACACAATCCACAAAAGCTAGAATCAACAAAAATCGTTTTTCTGAATTTTTCTTCCATTTCTTTTGGCAGAAAATTATTGTTCCTGTATTTCCGAAAATTCCAAAAATAGCACTGAAAATAGACAGAGCACAGCTTACAATCAGCGCCTTCTCAAAATCTCGGTAAATAACACGGATGTCAGTATATGGTAAATATTTCGTCGTTGTTAAATTACCAACCATTCTTGTTTCTGCGAACTGCAAGGGCAAAATACGTTTTAGACATTTCCATGATACCTCTAACATAACATTTGGCATTATTCCTACAAGTTCTAATGGAAATTGTTCCAAATCTGATTTATTATTCACCTTAATAAATTGGCAGATATCTTATCAATTTTAAATAATTAATAAATCTAGTTTCACTCTATTCTGGTTCATGTATCGATTTCTAAAATTAATTGTCACGAGTGATTACACCATAGGGAACAATTAGTCGCCGGGGCCGGAGACTTTATTTCAGAATGAATATAGAAACCAACTTATCTGCTACTCTAATGACTTTTATATAAACATGATACTTCAATATTAAACGCAAAAGCTGAAGCTTTAGGATATAGCAGAATAATCAGGAAATTGTTTAAAATTGTGTGAGTACTAGATTTCAACACGTATTACTCTACATACTCTATACCCCCTTTTTGAAGTATATATACTCAGTACTCTATACAGCATGATTTAACCAGTGCAATTATATTCTGAAAAGGTGAAGCTAAGTAAACGAATAATGATCAAAGTCATAAACTGAAGGAGTCAGGAAGATTTTTCATTTCATGTAAAACATTGTGAATATTATTTTAAGGGGAAAAAAACAAGGGCGGCTAAGAAAAAAAAAACGCAGACAATGTCCATAATGCTGTCATATGAAGGGAAACTCCAGACTTTAAAGGCAAGGTACTATATACTTTAACATTTATTATGCATTTATTAATGCCGGTATATATTTCCTGACGTTCTAGTGAAATGAACAAGAAACACAATTTTTATTAAATCAGTTGTGTAAACTCTTTCTTACACATTTCATTACTTTTAAAGGAATGATCGTAAATGTAATGAAAACTTATTTGAAAAATAACAAAATATAATACAGCAAGTTTAATTTTCTAGAATTCCATCGTTCATAGAAAAAAAAAAGAAAAAAGAAAAACTGGTGCGTCGCATTACTTGTGAACAAAAGAAATTGATGCGCGGACACCTCGGGTGAAATTTAAGTTTGAGTTTGATGTCAAGAAAAGTGAAGTTTATTCCAAAATACTAAATTTAAAAAAAAGGCGAAAGAACCAGAAACAAAAATATTTGCATAGGAATACTACATGTAAGTTATGAAAACAAAATTTTACTCAAATTTCTGCATCTTCAATCCTTTGTGTAAAATTAATATTCAAGTTTAAAGAAAAAATGTGACAATTATTTTAAATCTTAGTTCAAACAAAAAAAGAACAAAAAAAGCTATTATTTTATTTTTATACATATGTTCAATGCATTGCAAATTTTATGAAATTTATGACAAAAATCATAATGAACAACTTTGTATGCATTCAATAGAAGGATATTTTCTTAATGATTATTACTAATGAGTTGTTTTTCTGATAAAAATCTTCTTCGTTTTTTCCTTAATCGCCTTCCGCAATTCGGCATCAAAATAACCGTAGATAAATGGATTGATAAAATGGTTAATAAATACGAAACGTCCAACGAGCATCCAAAAGAAAAACTGTACTTCTGTGAAATCAAAATAACGAAATTTGCTCAGGGTATACCTTAAAATTAATAGAACAAGACTTGGAAAATATGAAAACATATAACAGCTTATGATGACAGAAAACATTAAAGACATTCGAGTCACCATCCTTCTCTTTCGATTGTTAGATGCTAGCACAATATCAGCATGTGATCCAAAATGATGTGTTCTTTTATTATTGTGACATTTTCTGTCCTGGTCATCACCACATGGATGTTCCACGTGACCGGAAGTAGTGGGTCTTGATTCCGAGTAAGTGGTGAGTGATGTTGGTTGATGTTCCAGTTCTATAGTGCTTACTGTGATTCTTCGACTCTCGGTATTTTTCATAGAAATAACACGGCGATATTTTCGTATAAATGGGCTGTAAACTGAAATTACAGCAACTATGTTTGCCAAGGTAATTACAAGCAGAATGTATGTATATGTTGCATGTTCTGGAATATTGTTAGCAACAAAGTAACACTCCATATAAACTACAGATTTTCCATGATATTTTTCTTTAGTCACTGCGTTCCCTGCAATGAAAAGCACAGGAAAAGAATAGATAATTGCAACGATCGTGATGATGAATAAACTGGTTCTCTTCCAAAACAAGGTGAGATGGGGGCCATACGGTTTACATATCAGAAGATACCGCTGGACAGATATAGCCAGTATGATGTGACCAGATACTGCGGAAATAAACACATGCATGAAATACAAGAGACGACACAGGATGTCACTGGGGAAATGCATCCAATAAGTATTGGAGAGGACATACAGAAATCCCCCTGACACGCAGGCCATGCAGTCCACGGTAGCCAAATAAGGGATATAATAACGCTCGTCATTTCCTCTCCATTTTACAATGTAAGAAATTATTATCACAATGTTTCCTATTATTCCCACAACGGCACCCAGTATTGTCAAAACACTGTTTGAAATAAGTGCCCTTCTGTAGTCTTCGTAAACAAAATAAAAATCAGTTAAATTCTGATCACTCATCCTTGAAATGTATTCCTTACCATATCCGACTTAAATTTGAACTTTTGTCCATAACAAGTCAATGTTTTCATTTAAGACAATTTTTTTTAATTTACAAAATGAAAAAAAATAATTCCAAGCTCAACCTTTTTTTAAATAAATGGAACAATTTGTACACAAACAATATCCTTCAGTCCGATGTGTCAGAGATTAGATTAAACTGTGTTATTGTCTCTACTTTTTACAGAAAACCAATATGGATTTTCAATGTTTTGACTCTTTTTTCCATCTTGAACCAATCTCCTGTTTCTCGGAAGCTAGGTCAAAACGGGGGTAATGACGTTTATTCACCTGTTGTTGTGAAGATAACTGCAATGTCATTTTCCCACCTAAACACATTAGTCTGGTTTTTCTGGGACAATTTTGACAGCAGACAAAGACTTACGCCATCTGTTGTATTCGTGAAATCATCTCTTAGTGAGCACTTTTCTTGCCACATGAAATTTTTTAAAACTAGAATTGCGACAGTGACTACATGTACTTTGAAATTCTTATATATATAAATGATAATGTTGTATTTTTGTATACTGTAATACATTTGACATTAAGTGTCTAAGAATAATAGGACCTGGGAACATACATGAAATATGACGTCAAATCAATAGAGATTAACAGGATAAAAATCAACATGACAATCCAAACCTATTGCGACTATATTCATAACTCATCAGGTCACAACAGTAAAACGGCTGGGCTTACCTGAATATATTCAACATTTAGCAATGCAAATAATAATATCATTTAATTAAGTATGTAAGTGTTTTGCAAAAGATAATATTTCTTATAAAAACATAAAACTTTTTTTGGCTCGTGATTTACACAGAGCATTATTTTTTCTTCTTTAACCAGCACCAGAAGCATTTAGAAAACTCAGCTCTCAATTTCACATCAAAATAACCATATATGATAGGGTTGATAATATGATTAATAAACACAAATCGAGAAAAGAAAAACCAAATGAAATACTGAGACTCTGTGAAGTCTAAATAGTTGAAATTTTTCTTACTGTATCTGAGAATCAATATTACAAGTGACGGTATATAGGACAATACATACACTACAATAATCGTCAAAAACATCACATTCATTGTTGTTTTCATTCTTTCAAGCTTGGAAGATGATCTAAAGAGTTTCATTCCATTTCTAAATGTCCACGTTTTGTTTTTGCCAGGAATCTTTTCAGAATATAATGTATTATTCTTGCCATCTGCGATTCCAACTGTCTCATTCCGATTTTTGGCCGTGGAGCTTGAAGGATTTATTTGCTTAGTACTTGTACTTTCAAAGTTATCCTCTTTTCGGCTGGATTTACTACAAATATCCAGAGATGAAGAATTATTCGGATCTATATTGTTTTGAATTTCTTCACCTTCATTTCTTTGGTTCACAAAGGCATCTATTTGATGAGAGGCACCCATATCGTGGCCTTTTTCTTGATCATTGACAGTAATTTCAATAACGGAAATATTTGCCCCATCGTTTTGCTTTCCATTCCCACAGTTATCTACATTTCTCTCTAATACGATATCGTGCATGTTGTTTTGGCTGTACTCGTCCAGACTTATAAGATCTGTTCGTGAATTCCCTACAGTCTCTACTGCATCGTCCGTTTGTATGTCCTTTAAAATATCATTCAGCCACACCCGATGCTTCCCATCAAAGGTAGAACTAATACTATTTTCGATGTCAGAAATTGTGTTGTCGCGGTTTCCACAGAAAGGAAAGACAGTCTTGCATGTTTGTGATGTTGAAAAAGAACTATGGATAACTTTGATGATTGGAAGATAAAGAGCCATGCAGACTATTGCATTGGTCACAGTAAGAAAGAGTAGAATTGCACTGTACGTTATTGCAGCCCCCGTGTAATCTACGACAAATACACACATCCTGGTGGTGATATTTCTTGACAAGAACACACGGTCGGTACTTTTGATTCCAGACATTGCTAGCGATGGTGCAGCGTATAAAATCGTGGCTAGCAATGTTACCAGAACGGCAAACCTCTTCCAGAACAGTGTCATATGAGGACCAAAGGGTTTACAGATCAGTAGGTATCGCTGGAGAGCTATGATCAGAACCATGTGACCGGAAAAGCCAGAAATGAACAACTCCAGGAACCAAATAACACGGCAATGAAACTCTCCAGAAAAGTCAAACATGTATGTGTTTAAAACTGTGTTTCCGTATCCATTTATGATACATGCTGTTAGATCCATTGCTGCCAACACAGGGATGAAGTAGCGCTCAGATTTATCCTTAATACGAAAATAATAAATCACGATAATTATGAAATTTCCTGTGATTCCCACCGCAGCTCCGAATAACGTCAAAATGGAACTTGCCAGTAAGGCATTGGAATACTTCTCATATACTAAGCTATAATCTGTTGTGTTTCCCATCAGAGAAAGAATTAGCAATTTAGAAATGATTTTGGTTCGAGAACACGTTCATGTCAGCTTATTTGCACACTTTAATTTAATGTTTAAGTCTATCTCGGTGGCTTTGTTTTTTGTTTTAAATTTAAAGGTCAAAGATGTTTCTTGAAGCATTTTTTTCATTCAATTTTTGTCAATATCCGTTGCAAATGTAAATATATGTAAATTCTCGATGTCGATCTAGACATATCATTTAGAAAAAAGAACATCGTTGCATTAAAGTCTCCTTTGGGCCATTTGCTGTTATTAAGGATTTTAAAGAACATACCTTAGAGTACACTTTTTCAAAGAGGTACCTGTATGTGTTACCGAATAGCTTTGAAATTTTTCTGTTAGGCAATATTGGCGCACCTAAAATAAAACATTGTTTACTGATTTAAAGATATATTTTTGTATTGATTTAAAGAAAGCAATAGAATTTTTGTGATTGATTTAGTATTGCATGTAAATATATATTATCAGATAAATTTAAAGTAAAACCATACCGCAAGTATTTTTGTCATCATCTGGAAATTTAATTGCCTGTAAAATTAAATGCGACATTATCTCCGATTTGAAAATATTTTTTGAATGCTTTGCAAGAGACAAAATTAATGAAAGATTTGTTTCATTGCTTAAGAAAAGAAACAAGAATATCATTCTGTTTATTTTTTCAATATATGAAAGCATTAGGGTTAAAGGCCCTGTCACACCAAGTTGCGTTCACACGGAGTCATTACGGCGTTGTTAAATTTTTTAAATCGCCGTGGAATCGCAGGGAAATTGCACAAATTTCTGTAAAATTTTCACAATATGAAGATGTCACGGCGTCCCTACGGCGACGGACGCGATTCTACGGCTATCTCACGGAGTTCTACTGCGTTCCCACGGAGATCTTTCGGCGATTGATTGCGCTTCCGCGGAGTTTTCACGGCGCGTTAGGAGTTTTCACCTAGTGTTCACGGCGTTCTCACTGCGCTGGCTGCGTTCACAATACGTTTACAATGCGTTCTATACTCATTGATATATATTCAGAAGGAATGTAAAACATTTATGTTTAAAGATTCAAGTTACACGATGAAAAGATTTCTAATAAATATTCTTAATAATTAGAAAAATGTTCTATTTTAATAATTTAGTACTAAATTATTAATAGTTTTATGATTAAACTGCTTTTTTTCCCCAATTTTTTTTGGTTCAGATGTGTTGTTAGATTTTCTTTGAATTTATTGTGAATGTAAAAACAAATATAAATAAACACACTGAAAAGTTGTCTACAAAATTTAACTGAAACAACAGAACAAGTTCTGGTGTAATTTTATCTTCTTTTTTTTTTCACTTAAATGCTCCTAGTGCAACAAATAGGTTGGAATTATTGCTGATCAAATATGATCCCATTGCTCTTGTTTTGTGAGCTGGCTGACAACGCTCTAACAACGCCGTGAAAGCGCATTGTGATCGCAAACGGACGCTGTAGAGACGCCATGGGAGCGCAATGATCGCAGTGACAACTCCGTTCTGTCGCCGTGTAGTCGCAGTCGAAAAAATCACAAGACGATAAATCTCATTAGAAGCGCCGTAAGAACGCAATAGAAATGCAGTGACATCTCCAAGGACTCCGCGACATCTCCGTGAGGTCTCCTTGGAAGCGCAGTCTACTATCACTGCGTTCGTACCGCGATCATGTGCGTCTTCATGGCGTTCGTACGGAGCTCCCACTACGTTGTTGGAGATCTCACAGCGCTGCTACGGCGATCATACTACGTTTCTACTGCGTTCTTATCAGACCGCGATCACACGGCGCGTACTTTGTGCATGCCCAAAGTGATCGCCGTCCCCTGGCGTTCTAGGAGACCCTACGCGACACTACGGCGTTCAGTGGAGATCTCGCCGCGTTGTTACGGCGCTGTAGGAGACTCTACTGCGATCACCTCGGCGTTTTTCATTTTTTGAGGACGCCGTGCAGTCGCCGTGAGGACGCAGCCCTGGTGTGACAGGGGTTTAAGGACAGATGATACAAACAGACTTTTGTCAAAGAATTTCAAAATAACAACTTGGGTCATGTTTAAATGTATAAAATGAATTACTTTCACCGCATTATGTTTCATTTTTTATTCAAATGTGCACAAAAATACATTTTAAAGTGAAAAACATTTGTATAGATTAATAAGGATGGTTTCAGGGCAGACTTTTGAACATCACAGAAGGTTTACGTTTAATCTGAATATCCGTTTCTTTTTTTTGTTGAGTATAGTAAATATATTAACTTACCAGTGGCCCCAACCTTCGAAAAACTCCAGGAAGTATGCGTCTCCAACATTTGTCCAGATACAAAGGCAAATGACAGAATTACATGGAGATGGCAAACCAGAAATTATATAATGCCAATTGAAATTTTCGGAATGTAGGGATGAGGCAAATTTATGAGGAATCAAAGATAATTTTTATAAACAAGTAGAAAAAACGGCATATTTATTCGGACAACTACATTTATTAATAAGTCAGGGAAAACTGTTATTTTCAGATGGAGTTGTTTCCGCCTATTATGGTTCCCTGTGAGAACAGTTATTGAATTAACAGGAAGTAGGGTCATATGTAAGTAATTAGTTCAAGAGGTTTGATCCAAAAGATTGTGAAATTTCTTTCTATAAAATCATCGTGATTTTATCAAAGCAAAGAAAAAAACATATTTATAAAATAGAGTCATTATGCACCAATACTGGGAAATTTCACAAAGTTCCATAAACCATTAAGCTCACACAAGCATGAACAGTTGTAAAATCCTGGGACAGTCTGACGTTACGTTAAGTTAGGTATGTCACGCCATGTTCTAGAAGCATCTCATCCTCAAGTTCAAATCGACTTAGAAATTCTACTGAAACTATTTTTTTTCTTCATTTCTGTTCTCAAGAAAAGTCTAGATACCCTCTCGCACTCACTTTCTTCAAATTACAACCATGGTTCAAAACATACTTCCCGTCGTGTCATATGATGTTCTGATTTCAGTAGCAGTTTCAAGCACAGTACGTTGGTTGTCCACGTCCATTAACGCTTAATTTGTCTACTAGGAATAAATAGCCCTCCAAAAGGCAAGCACATATTTCTCCAACCTCCATGGAAGTTATACTAGATCCTAAAATTTCTTACGCTACTGGAAATCTAGTTGCTTACTGCATATTTGTCTTGCCTGTATCATTTGTATCTGCGTTTTAGTCAGAGTGTTGCATATTACTCAACAAGTGTGATACGAATTAATATGTTAAATATGTCATGCTTTCAAACCCGGATTTACTGATCTTGAAAATAAATAGCTAGCGACGATTTAAAAATTATTTTCCTCATCAAGGTTATAGTGAAAAAACTGCAGAATTAAATATGACTTAAAGTAATATTGAATGTTTTCAGCAATGAGAGCCTTTTCTGTTGCAGATAGAGGGAGAGATAGAGAGAGTCCGCGTCTCTATACGTGTCTGCTTTTATACATTACAACGAGTTCTGAAATGAGTTATTCTATACTTCTTACCCTGTTATTTTTATTTTTATCAAACCCATTTTAATTATAAACCATTTCAGGGTATGAACAAATATGTTTATTTGTATATTTTTTCTGTTAGTTCATTGAAATTTTCTGAAAGCAAAAAAAGCTTGTTTATACAAAGGAGCACATATGTTTGTAAAATTATTTTAATAATAATAATATTATTATTATATATTATATATTTAATCTCAGAATAGTGCTTTAGTTTAATTAATCTAAATATTATTTCCCTGTTCTGTCGTGTCTTATAGAGTACGTGCAAGAGAGATAACTCGTTTGGTTCTTTTTTGCAAATTTGATTTTTCCTTATATTGTTATAAATGAAACAAACAAGCGTAGTCGTTAGCGGGGTGTTAACTATTATTTTTTTTCTTTGCATTTCAAAGTGCATTTCTTATTGCTATTCCTATTTCAAATCCTATGCGTATGTCGACTCGATATATCCAGGTGAACTTGAAATAAAATATAAAAAAAAATCCCGCATCTGTTACTATTTCAATATTTTACTACAAAAAGACGTTAATGGCAGCATAACAAATTACAACCAAGCTTTATGATAAATGTCATGATTTTAATGTTTCAATCCTCAACTTCCGTTACTTAAAAAGCAATATACACTTATCTAATGCATACGGGGCTAACGTCTCTCAGTCGATCCGACACGCAAGAGAATGCTCTAGGTTTGAACAATTTTTATGAGAGGATTTCTACTGACAAACAAGTGGATGAAACAAGGATATCAAGTCTCGTTTGAAGTCATCCTTTTGTATGTTTCTTGGTCGAAACAAAGATCTTGTCAGCAAAAACGTCCAATGATTAGGTCAAATGCTGACTGATGTTTATCATATTAATTATAAGGACCCTGTTGCTCACTGATTTTCCTATTTACCGATCTTGACAAGTAGCACACAGCGGTTAGTAGAGGATGCTCACCCCTTTATTGCACCTGATGTCATCTCTGATATTTTTGGACGTCCATGTTTGCTCTACTCCCGATGATATTGTTTAAATGGCCTTTCAACTTGAATACTGTTTGTTATTTCCATATTACATTGATAAAACATATACTGGAAACCGTTATGTGTCTTTGTTTGTATATGTTTTATTTAGTTTAGAAATCCAGGATAAGTATGCTAATTCAAATTCATCACGATTGACTGTTGAGAATACCATGGGTATACAAAGAGTGTAGGGTAGTATTTTGATCCTGAGTAAGTTTACATATATAATTAATGTTGCCCGAAAAAAAGTGAATTATTGTTTTGTTATAAACAAGTTGATGACACAACGATATCAGCATCGTTTTGTAAGTTTTGTGGTAGATACCACGACCGTGTCAGCAAATAAAGTTTATAGTAAAATTAAACGATGACTGCCGTTTTTCATACTAATTGTAAAATCATTATTTACACACTGAATTGCCGACGGATTTTATCGTCGTTTCCCG